TGTTGATGCAATATTTCACCCTTTTGGCGGATTGATTTCTCCTGTATGAGTCCCGCTTCATGGAGCGCCTTTGAGATGCTGGGAAATCGTAGACTGAGCCATCGGAATCATAGCTGTCATCTCACCCGTAAAACAGCAGGATCGGCTCTCAAGAAGCCTCAGGATCCTTATTCTTACCGGATGACCGAGCGCTTTGAAAAAGCGGGCCACTTCCAGTTCATCATCGCTGTAGTCTATCTGCCTGACGGTTCTTTTGCATTGCCTCAAGGTTAGCTTATCGTAAAATTTACGATAATGACCGTATAAACAAAATGCTTCGTCACACCCTTTTTTGTTGGACCGTTTCTACCGGCCGCTTGACAGCCTTGCGGGAAGCAGAGGAACGAAGGAAGAAAAACTCGATTTTTTCAGACGTGTCCGCAACGAGACGAGGGACAAACCCTGACGAATGGCTCAAGGGGCACCGATGACAGAAAACATTCCGGAAGGGCAGCAGCTTTTGGGCACCTCTATGTAATTTGTTGCGCGGCCCGAATACTTCGTTGGTCCCGACGTGTCGGGATCGAAATCCTCATCCCGACTCGTCGGGACTCCGGTTTCTGTGGCTCCGTCCGCCTTGTCTTCAGGTCGCTCACGACAAGTAATAGAGGTGCCCTTTAACTGTTTATGGGGAATAGTACATTTGCCGGAAAGAATACTTAACAACCAGCCGGGATAGTTTCGGGTCGTGAAACCAGAACCCTTCTGGAAAACAGTATCGCTACAGCCGCCAGCGGGGCGACTCCTCGCCATACTCCGCTCGACCGGGAGCCACCTACGGCAGCGTGGCTTTTACAAGCTGAAACCGGAATTTCCCAGCCTCAGCCTTGGCACCGTCTACAGAAACCTGGCGATCCTCGTCGATCAGGGTTTCGTGCGGAAAATAGACGCCGGCAGCACCTTCGACCGGTTCGAGGCGAAAACAGACCCTCACTATCATCTGATCTGCAGAACGTGCGGCAAGATCGTCGACTTCGAGGAACACGTCTTCTCCGAGATCGACGATGAGATCCGCCATCCTGGGCAGATTTCGACATCGAAGGACACCGGATAGACTTTTTTTCGAACCTGTCACGAGTGCAAAAAAGCCCCCCTCTTGAAATGAGCGGTTATTTTTTTTAGACTGTAATTAGTAATCATTCCGATTACCGTAAACCGGCACCGCGGAAGTTCGGAATGAGGGGATTTCCGATCTGGGGAGAAAGCGTACCGCCCGGGAGGATCTGCGCACCAACAAGATCGCAGAACCGGTAACGAGAGGTTCACACAACAAAACCGGAGAAAACATCATGGATGAACACAGCAATGCCCGGTAACGGGCAGGACAGCCGCGATCCCGCCGCAGGAGGCGGCACATCGAACCGTGACTGGTGGCCGAACCAGTTGCATCTCGACATGCTTCATCAGCACTCTTCCCTGAGTAATCCCCGTGGATGAAGCGTTCAGGTATGCCGAAGCGTTCAAAACGCTTGACCTTTGCAGCCGTGAAACAGGATCTCTATGCACTGATGACCGACTCGCAGGAGTGGTGGCCGGCCGACTACGGTCATTACGGCGGACTGTTCATCCGCATGGCGTGGCACAGCGCGGGCACCTATCGAACCGGCGACGGCCGCGGCGGGGAGGCACCGGCAATCAGCGGTTCGCCCCCCTCAACAGCTGGCCGGACAACGCGAACCTCGACAAGGCGCGTCGGCTGCTCTGGCCGGTCAAGCAGAAGTACGGGCAGAAACTTTCCTGGGCCGACCTCATGATCCTCGCGGGCAACTGTGCGCTGGAGTCGATGGGCTTCAAAACCTTCGGGTTCGGCGGCGGGCGCGAGGACATCTGGGAACCGGAAGAGGATATTTACTGGGGCAAAGAGGCCGAATGGCTCGGCAACGCACGCTATAGCGGGAGCGCGATCTTGAAAACCCCTCGCCGCCGTGCAGATGGGCCTGATCTACGTCAATCCCGAAGGGCCGGACGGCAAGCCGGATCCGTTGCCGCGGGCAAGACATTCGCGAAACCTTCGCACGATGGCCATGAACGACGAGGAGACCGTGGCGCTCGTGGCGGGCGGACACACCTTCGGCAAGTGCCACGGCGTCGGCGATCCGGACCTGGTGGGCCCCGAACCCGAAGCCGCCGGGATCGAGGAGGGCTCGGCTGGAAGAGCGGCTACGGCAGCGGCAAGGGAGACGAGACCATGACCAGCGGACTGGGGGCATGGACGCCCGACCCGATCCATTGGGACATGGGCTATCTCGGCATGCTCTTCAAATACGAGTGGAACTGACAAAAAGCCCCGCCGGCGCCCATCAGTGGAAGCCGAAAGATGTAGCCGAGGAGGATCTCGCCCGGCCGCCCACGATCCGTCGAAACGCGTGCCGACCATGATGACCACCGCGGACCTGGCGATGCGCATGGATCCGGCCTACGGACCGATTTCACGGCGATTCTACGAGCATCCGGACCAGTT